ATGAGAACGAATATACGCTTGTTTTATAAAGTTGCACAATACATGCAAAACAATTGAGAAAAAATATACGCTCATTTTATAAAGTTGCACAATACATGCAAAATGAATGAGAACGAATATACGCTTATTTTATAAAGGGGCGCAATACATGCAAAACAATTGAGAACGAATATACGCTTATTTTCAAAGCGGCACAATACATGCAAATTTAGTTGCGTGTAGGTTCATTTTCAATATGTAAATAATTCATTTGGTTGCGCAATACCATAATAATTGATCGTCCGTCCGTCCATCCGTCTGCCTCTGCGTCCATGCAAGAAGCAAAAACAAGACAAACACGATGCATGCTTTCCTTCTTAATTGGAGTTACCCAAAGCGCCGATGGTAGCATCGCTGCGATGGCTACTTAATCTAATTAACTATTTCACATTCAATCTCAAACGTCCTTGTTCGAAAATATGTTTATGTTCTGCCCAACGACGGACAGAATTCCAGGGTGCATTTTTTTAATGATAAAAATGCTGGCGATGCATAAGAGGGGGCAGGAAGGTGAAGACTTTCTTCACTAAGAATAAAAGCGAGAAATATTATTAGTGAATATCTCTCTCTCTCTCTCTCTCTCTCTCTTTTCTTTTCTTTCTTTCTTTCTCCTTCTATATTGTATTTTGTACATAAGAAGAATGTGTTCGCGACTGTGAACTATTTAGGTTTCATTTTAGTTCGAGGAGATGTACTCGTGCACACGGATACATCCTAAATCTTAGTTACGCAAGACCGTCTTACGATATTGAATCTGGCCACGCATGTGCAATACTTCACTTTGCTGTTTGTTTCGTATTCATACCTCGAATACAAGTCATAATCTTGTTCTGTCAACCGTTTGATTAAAAATGTAAAATAAAATGTTAATAATTTATTACTATTTTCATTTTTTATTTCGTTTAATTTTTTTGCGAATTTAATTAAACACTTGCGTTATAAATCAAAAAAATTTCATGAAAATTATGAAACATGTAAGAATTTTCAACAAAGTCGGCTCCTGCTTTATAAGCCACGCACGTGATTTTCTGCTAACAAGTTTGTGAGGTCGTATCATAAGATCGGCTATGTGTGATCGCTGAACACTTCAATTATATAATCGTAAACAACATCAGTTAGATTCTTATTAAAATGTTGTTGCTATTAAATCACCCAATGTACCCAATGTACGCATTCATACATTTTATAAAAGAAGGAAAAAGGTTGCGTTAGTATTGAGGCGTCCTTGTGAATTATATATATCGTCTTAAGTAAGCCCATTTTGAGTAATCTGTCAGCTTATGTTGATAAATATTGGCATTAAATTTTGAATCGAACCTGATAAAAATTGTTTAGTACCAGGCGTCAGCGTTTTGATCTTTTGATTTTTATGGCTTTTTTCTTAGCTCCTGCTGTCATGTGTGTATGTGTGCATTCATTTGTAACCGGGTGAATTATTCCTGCTTTCATGCTAAGCTTAAGTTTTTTAACTCATCATTTGTGAGGCGTATTAGACGAGTAGAGGTAGGAATAGATCAACCCTGATCAAGCATTTTATGTAAGTCACAGGGTCACTGTATGCGCGAGGATTCTTCAACTTTTTACATAGGCGCGATAAGATTTTTATCTTAGAATACAGTAAGTCTTGACGTACGTTCATGACCAAAAGGGCACGCAGAAATTATGGTGTGCGATGGTTCGTCATGGAACCCAAGTTTCACTGACAGATGGAAGTTTGCTAAAATGTTATCGCATTCGGTGGAGTTTTAGTCAAGAATCAATTGAATATCGTCAGCTCTTGTATTGGCAGCTTCACAAATAGGAGGAGTGGCTCCTGCCTTGCCGCCTTGCTGAGAAATAAACATGTTAGGTCATAAGTTAAAGCTGCTAAAGATATTTTTTCGTACATATAGCCGGAAACTTGCAGGCAACTTCTACGTAACTACACCAATCTTTTATGTGAATGGCGGTAAGTGTGGCAAAACTATTAAAAAAATTTATTATTTGTACTTTATTTTGTTTATTTTCAGCACCTCAAATTGGGCACCTATATACGGCAGTTATAGCAGATGCTATAGCACTACAATATAACACATTACTACGTCCATACCACTTCACGCTCAGCAATTATTGTTAACACTTTCGTGCTTCGCTTTCAGTGTAATTTACAGGCTTTGCAACATCTTGTTGTAGACTTTAATAGGATGAAATTCCTTGAAGGCTTCACGAAAACGTTGTTTTTGTTCTTTGCTCAATTTCATATAGAAATCTTGTGCAGATGTCACGAACATACCAATTTCGTGATGACCTAATTTCGCAGTAACCTCATCATCAGCAAATCCATGCGTCGTCGTTGTTGCTGCCGCCGCCACTGCTACAATCGGTACGCTTTTGTTCACCGATAATTGATTGCGTGCTTGAATCACAGCTTCAAGTAGCTCTTGCAAGTCGTTCTTTCCTTGCAGATCGCGCAATCCCGGCGTATTTGGGCTGCTTACATTAACAACAAGATAATCCGCAATTGGACCAAACATTTGTACTCCCTTCACATAATCCTGCTTAGCCGAGGTGGAGTTTTTATTTTTACCCAAATTAACTCCTAAAATGCTCGAAAATTGTCCCGATTCTCTAACAGCTTTCAAACGTTCGTATACCACATTATTCATATTCTTCATATGCTTGGTAGCTTTTGCCGCAAGGCTTTACGCTTTAGTTACATAGACTATTCTGAATAAACGATCCAAAAAATATGATGTTTCTAAGAATTCTAGATTATTTAAACCGATATCGCAAGCAATGAAATTTAACTTATTTTTATTTATCAAAATTATTATCTTCTAAATTAATAATTGTTTACAATTACTAAAAATGTGTTTTATAATCTTAGGTCATGGTTATGAAGATAATTTTAGAAAACATTTATAATGTTTGTAGAAAATTTTATATCTTAGTGAATAAATGAAAAAGAGAAATTATTATTTCGCTTTTTTCTTAAGGCTTTCAAGATATAAACCTTCTGTACGCTTGGTTGATTAACGAAAAGTACAAAATTTTCTACATCTTGTACTTTTTCATCCAGCAGCTCTTTTATGTCATTGTGACGAAGTTGTTTCTTTGTCAAGTATCTAGCAACTGGATCCGTTTTGGAGAAAGAAGCAAAAAATTTTTCACATTTTATCAGCAGCTGCTATAAAAAATATTGATATTGATTTCACAAGAGGTGGAATTAGACAGTATTTTGACATTAAAGAATTATAAGAAATTAAAAAGAAGCATATTTTATGTGTTTTCAGCCTTGCCTAAGCCTTTTTTCACAGCATAAGCTCCTTAAGTGTTGTATGCCGGTCTTGCGACCTTAATAGTAAGTTGTTGCATAAATTTTTAAACACGATTTTTACTTGGTAGCCATTCCGAAAGAAAGAAAGACAGAAAAATCCCTCACTTCCCTACCATCACTTTTTCCACCGCTATCACGGTTTAAACCTCTTGTGCAACACGACCATTAAAATGTAGCCAGTATTGGTTGGTGCAGATTCGGTTAATAACAAGATTCAAAAACTAATCATAGTTAAGGCAACAAATATCGCCTGCTTTCGCTCAGTCTTTAAAGCCATTCTAAGCATTGCTGCTGGTGCTGCAACGACCCATTAAATATCTGTTCGTAAAAGCCTGCATCAAAGATTTCCATCAAAAATTAGCGCAACTTCTTAAAGAAGCTCAAAGTGTTATCATACTAAGATGCTTAAGGTGTTGCGGATGACAAGATAAGAGAAAACGGGAAATACACAAACGCAATAGGACAAGAAAAGTTAAAATGGCAGGTAAGATTTCGATAGTAAATCAAAACCCGCCACCCAATACTAAACTCCACCACATTGCGGCTACTCATACAATGATTTTTTAAAATGAGGCATTATATGTGAAGTGGTCGAGAAAGTGGTTTCGATCAATTTTCAATAGCTATCGTCGAATATGTACCAAATTTCGTCAAAAGATCACAAAAATTGCGACTTGTAGGTTGAAGGAAACAAACGAGATAGAAAAACTTAGATCGATGCAAAATGTAGTCCGGAATCGATCGGCATAATAAAAGATGAGTCTATAGTAATTCCACTCGCGTGTTGCATGCATCCGCACTAACTTAATACGCCATTGGTATAAGTCATGTTGGGTATTATAGAAACTTAACGAAATACTTCTATGATGTTTGAAAGACCGAAGAGGCAATTTAAAGAAGTTTCGATAACTGAAGAGCATGTACGTATATTGATTCCTCGACGTCGTCATCCCAATCAGTTCCGGGTGCTAAAAAAATGAAATCCCCAATTTCGAAATCTTTCACTTTATAGTGTATGCAAATGTTGTGGTGTGTTGTGGTGTTGAAGTGTACTACATGGCGCAACTTTGAATGTAAAAAAAAAACAGTTCGTCTACATGTCTATAACCACGGAAAAGTATGTAGAACGATTTTTGTTGAGATTTACGTGGAGTAATTGTTATTATTACTAAAATTTTTTCGTGATTGGGGGAGTTAATCGATTTAGCAACTGAATCATCCATATGTAGGTATTGTATGCAGCAATTATTATATGTGCTGTCACGGAATGATTTGCAAACAATTGAAAGCGTTCATTCCGGACCTATCTGACACAGTTCATGTCAATGGCTATATTTTAATTTCAACTGCTTCTGAAAATTTACAAATCCATTATTGCGTTTGGCATTTACTATAATACTTTTGGGAAATATTTACACATATTTACTGTTATTTGCTGTTACCAACCCAATTCCGTAATTACAGAAATTTTCGCGAGCGGTTACGTCATTACCAATGAAAAGAATATGACTTGCGGCTGTCGTCTTTCTTTCAAAGTCAGTTTTGAAAACTTAGAGCTAACTAAACCACTGTTAAGCTAAGCCATGGATTTTTCTTAATCTTCTCATTCACGTAAAATATTGGACAATTTACACAGACCGTCTACGTAACACCGGTGGAGTTGTCATTAATAGAACCATTTCATATACTGCTCAGGAGCCTTGGCTGTTCTTAGGTACGGTGCGGAATAATATCTTATTCGGTGAAGAATATACTAAAGCACGTTATGGAGAGATAACTAAATGCTGTGCTTTATCGGCGAATTTCGAGCAATTGCCATACGGTGATACGGTAGGTGAACGTGGCGCGTCTTTGTCGGGAGGACAAATACCTCGCATTAGTTTCGCACGGCCCATTTATAAACCGGCCTCGATTTAACTTTTAGATGGTCCCCTTAGTGCAGTTGGTGCCTATCTCGAAGAGGTTATTGGATTAAGAAGTTGTTTGGTTCAGCAGAATGTTACTCGCATTCTTATTACACATCAAGTGCACTTTCTCAACGAAGCAGATAGGATAGTTATAATTGAAAACGGCCGCACATTCCGTCAGGGCACATATAAGGAACTAATCATAAGTGAATTAGACTTCGCCAAGCTGCTAGAGCGTCCCCAAAGAGAAAACAGCAAAAGTGAAAGCACCACTTTCAACTCGGAATATTCGAATAAAGAAGAAGAAGATATTCCCTATATAGATGGGGTGCGTGAAAACGGCTACCAACCATTAAGAATCTCAGTCAAGGAATTCACTTAGTTGCTAAAAATGTTTAAGAAAATCATGTTTAAGGAATAAGCCTATATGTTCACCACTATTCTAGGAAAATGCAGATGACGAATTAACTGATAAGATAGCGGCAGAAGAGCAAGCTGGTGGCGGCGTTAGTTTATGAGTTTGGAATGCATACTTTCGAGCCGGTAGCACGTTGGTGGGCTTATCTTTCATAGTTTTCATTATGTTGCTACCACAAATTGTGCGAGGCGGCTCAGATTATTTTGTAAATATATGGACGCAGCAGGAGTATCTGCATTCTATCAATGAAACAACTATCTTAACAACCTACGAATGCTTATACATTTATGGCGCTTCAATCGTCGGCTGCTATAACGATAGTAACAGTCCTAGATATTTTAATCTTGCGTATATATATGCGTCCATCACAAGAACTAAAGCGCTTGGAAGGAATCTGTTAGTTTTGTAGCTCAATGTAAGCGAGAAGGAGTAATGCATAGAATTTTTATATACTTTAAGGCCGTAGTCCGGTGTTTTCCCATTTATCTTCCTCATTGTCCAGTTTGGCTACAATACGTACATTCACGCAATTTACACAAGATAGTAATTCGTGAGTTCGACGATTTGCAAAATGTTCACAGTGCTTTCTGACAATTGATAATGGCAGCCAACACAGCTTTGGGGCTTTGGCTAGATTGCGTTAGTTGTTGCTTTCTAATTTCCGTAACATTCAGTTTTATTGTGTTAAGCCAACGTAAGTATTATACAAAAAGCTTCGTGTTAATTTTCAGGCTCTTTGAATTTATTTAATATTTTTCCAGAAACTTATAGCGGTAATGTTGGCCTAGCAATTTCGCAAGCAATGATTCTAACCGGTATGGTACAATCTGGTGTGAGGCAAGTAGCGGAGTCTTTGAAACAAATGATTCTATTGGCATTGGCAACAATTCCTAAATTACGAAATGTAATAAGGAAATTAATCAAAGTGACGAATGCTCCCGAAACGATGTTATCTTACGACTGGGTAACGAGGAAGATGCAAAAAGGTATTGATTAATGTAAATGAAAATAAGAAAGAAGAGGAATATATCCATACATGTGAATTTGTAGTGGCTTGCAGGAAAATGCGATAGAAGACAGTTCCCATGAAGTTTGTGAAGAAGGTGGAAGACATTCAATACCTACCTCTACTTTACTTAACAGCGGCCATATGTAAGTTGGTAACATGTTTTCGTACGTTCTGTTCTTTCTACGCTTCGATACAATTATAAAATACAAGAACAAATGATTTCGAAAACGTGAACGTCTCAAAAACAAAGAAAAAAAGGTGTTAATACAAGTAAACTACAAAGGATTCTGTTAAGTAGTAGCATCATTCGTGCCTTACAAGATATTTGATCAGGCTTGGAGTAAAATGCTTTACCAACTGTTGCCACTAAAGCACACACAATAGGAACAGGCGAATTTGACTACTATGAGTAGTGAGTCACATCTGCGAAGAGATTTTTTTTTATGACGAAAATGCTTTGTTACCGAAACTGTTCCCCTTCATTTTAGAGATTTGTAAATATCCATTTAAATATCGTGACCCAACGTTACAGCAATCACCCTCTTTGCCTCTTGTACGTTTTATGTGCGTTTCATCACGCGTCTGTGAGTCTTACATGCCTTTCTTGATGAATATTCTCAATCATACCAAAAATATCAAAATCAAATGCAGCACTGTGATCGGCCTATCTGATCTCACATTTCGCTTTCCTAGTATTATTGAACCAAGGATTGGTCATTTTTATTCGACACTGCATGATGAAAACACAGAGTTGCGTTACACGGCAGTGAAAATTATATCCCAGTAAGTAGAAACCTTAGTGGCAAAGCAGCCGTCCGATACTCCTGACTAAATTTAGTAGTAACAAAAAAAGTAACAAATTTTCTCTTATCTTTCTTAATCACAACATTTTTGCAGATTATTTGATTAGCAGAATTATTGCAACTGTTTCAATTTATATCTCTTCAAAAGTTATTATAAATCGATGGTTGTTTTTCCTTTGTTCAGTAACATCA